CCCAAGAAATTGACTTTTAGAAAAGGCTATACAAAACTAAGAGGAAAATAAGAAATTTTCAAATATGTAGGATGCCCCGGGAAGTTTAAATTAAGGTTCCGTTTTCTTTTTTTCTACACCGACGCCAAGGTCTAACAGTGAGCCGGAGCCCAAAACTTAAACTGTGAATAAGCTACGGCTTAGTTTTAGTAATCTTCCGCGTTCCATTTACGCCTAAGCCTCAGTCGAACGCAAGCTTTAAACCTAAGCGTAATCAGAGCTTAGCTTACTCTCATAGCTAAGCCAACACTTCGAAGCTCACACCTAAGCTCATGTGAAATAAGCCGAAGCCGCGGCTTGTAATTAAGCTGAAGCATAAACCCAAGCCTAAGGAAACGAAATCTAACAAGAAAATCTAAAATCAGCCTAACCCCTGCTACTTTAAGGAGCTGTGACAGCGGCCCGCTGAAAATGTACAAAATTCGCAAGTGCCGGCGATGAACAAAAAATTTTCAGCTGAGAAAATTCTAAATCAGAAAATCAGAAAAGGGATAATAACTGTAGTTTCGATTTAATGCGCGGATACCTTTTAGGCAAAATAAGGTAGTAGGTGTTGCGCCTTGCCAAGGTAAGCACCCAAAAATAGTCAAGTTTTCGTAAACGGACAAAACTGGGGATGCCGAAAAACTCGCAACAGCTCCGGATGCAGTAGTATGTTTGTGGAAGTGTTTGTCTTGGGCGCAAAAAGGAAGCCGCCCCAAAAGCCCCAATCCGAAGAAGCAGGAGAGGAAGAAGCCTCCAGGCCACCGGGCGGGTGTGGATGATTTGTCGGGACGCGGGGGGAGCAATGCGGAGGAGGACGACACAACCCCCCCACCACATACGGGCCCTTCCAAGCCTCAGACCATCGATCCCATCCCATCCCTGGGCCCCCCACGCTGGGCCCTAAGAGCCTATAGGGCCCACGGGGCCCTTAGGCTTTGGGCGGGCTAGAACGGCCGATGAGGGAAGAAGCCTCTTAGGTGCCTCGAAACGTCCACCTTCCACTTCAAACCACCCCCGCTTTCCGGGGCTTTCCGAAGCAATCCTTTCAACTCCACCTCCCCCAAAGCGTTTCAGGGGGTCTCGGGGGGGAAATTTCCAAGTGGGTGAGTGGGTAGCTAGAGTGCTGCTGCCTACCCAGGGCGGCTAATAAAATTCGGAGGAGCATCGTTTTTTGCGGGGGCCAGAAAGTGGACAGGATTTTGGAAAAAAAACTGAATTTCAGTAACAGGAGAAAAATGACAAGAAGCCTAATTTAGAGCTAAGCCAAGCCGGATGCTAAGCCGAGCCTAAGCCTAAGACAAGTCAAAGACAAGCCTAAGCATAAGCCTAACATAAGCCTAAGCCTGAACTTAAGCATAAACTAAGCCTAACTTAAGCCTAGGCCAGTTTAAAGTTATATCAGAAAAAAAGAGGCATTTTAAAGGAACGGACATCGAACGTCGTGAATCTATACCCAAAAACAAACAAACAAAAAACAGAAACGGATTGTCCATCCCTTTAAAACGCACGTTCAGGCAAAAGACTAGTTTAAAACTCTCATTTACACAAAAAGCCTAAAAAGCCAGATAGGGAGAGAGAGAGAGCGAGAGAGAGCGAGAGACGTCAATAGGCGCTGACGTAGCCTTACAAGTCCCCTTAAAACTAGCCAAAAAGCATATGAACAAAAAAATGATCCAGACACGCAGGGTTGAGTGCGATAGACATCGATGAGGGGAGGAAGACAGCGGGTCTGTTGGTTGGGATGAGGCTGTCCGGGGATGAGGGATGGAAATCGGCACCTTGGGCCCAGAGACCCCAGCAGAAAACCTCCCCCCGATAAGCACAAAGGGTTGGAGGTCGAGGAGGGCAGGAGGAAGAGGCTGACTGAGACTGAGGCTTCTCCTCTTGGGGGCACATGCGATGGATGGGCCACACCGGCGCCCCACCACCACCATCACCATCACCACCGGTCGGTGTGTAATGCGGGACCCCTAAGGGGAGTAGTCGAAAAGGAGATATGGGGCCTCTAGGCCACATACACACAAATACACATACACCACACGCCAGTCAATGTGCGTGTCAATATGTGGGTTTCTTTGTGGGGAGCAGATTGGTTCCAAGCATATCATAAGCCTGAGCCTAAGTCTATGCCAAGCCAAAGCCTAAAAACCTAAGTCTAAGTCTAAGCCTAAGCCCAAACCTAAGCCTAAGCCTAAGTCTAACAATATTCTAAACCGGGTCTTACATCTTATCATACACAATTGAAAAAGTTTACTGTGGAGCGAAGTGTTAATAAAATACTGCCTTTATTTGCCTGTCTTTAACATGAAAAATATATTTAAGTTATACAAATCTTGCTTTGACGTTGAACTAGTCACTTCCGGTGCCCGGCCACATCCGAAATTCCGGGGATGCCTGCCACCCGCCAGGGGTCATGTGAGAAGGTGGGAATGTGAGGTGAGCAAGAGGAACAAACTAATGTAACAATTTGCCCCTAGGGGGAAGGGAGAGAGAGGGAGAGAGAGACAGAGAAAGAGAGCAAGAGAGCGAGAGAGAGAGAGAGAGAGAGAGAGCTAGCAAAGCAATTTTAACACAATCAAGCCATATAAGCCCCAAAAAAAACCATAAGTAAGCCCGCTGTTCCCCCAGACGTTGTTTTCTTCCGCGCTCCACCCGCATCAAAAGGTGTTTATTTTTCCCAAACCCCAAAACCTTAATCCTTCCTCCTCCTCCTTCTAAAGTTTTGGCTTCTCCCGGACCCCCCCCGCCGCGTCAATCTAAACACAATTTTAGGAGGCCATGGACCCCCCGGGTGCGAACGCCAAACCGAAAGATGTGACTTCGAAGCCACCCGAAATAAATAGCGCTCAATTTCCGCTGAATTCCGGGGGAGGCTTGGAGGCGTTTAGAACCCAACAGGAGTCTGAAGTGCCCCAACGTTAGTCAACCTCAAGGAGACGATCTTCACACGGGAACCCCCCACGCATCCACGAATTTTTCATTCCACGCAAGGGGGGAGGGGTTCAAGAGCAAGAAGGTGCGAAAAGTTGTAACATGAAGTTTGATTCCCGGTCTCCCTCCCCTCACCCAGATCGTTCTGAAAGTTCTCACATAGATAGAATCGATTGCACTGATCATCACCACGCTTTCAAATTTGCTACAAGGCTTCAAAGCTTGAGATGTTAAAGTTTAAAGTTATCGGGTTTTAAATCTATGTAGCAAATTCCGAAAAGATGGCGATACTGAGCAGAGTCAACTCTATCTGGCGCTAATTTTTAGACCGATCTGGCTGAGAGGTTTGTTTGGACTTCCCTAGCAAGCAATGCTGCTCATCCCGAAAAATTCGGCTTCTGTCATACCAAAATTTCGCTTTCAAATCAGTCTTCTTTGCAACATTTCTGCAAGCACCTGGAAATCCAGGCCTTGCACGATTTGCACTCTCCTGTCCCATGGGACGCGCGGAACCTGCGCTTCGCGGACTGGACCTAGAGTGGGGGCCCCAATGCAGCTTTTAGAGTGGGAGTCGACGGGCATGTTTTGGTCGAATTGGATTTGTGGTCCGGGGAGCGATGGCATAAGGGTGGGGTGGGTCCTCTCTATCGAGTCCCTGGGGTACCGCACCCCAGATGGTCCCTCCGGGTTGTCATCGGAGTGCCGGGCGGAGAAGCTGCCAAAAAATAGTGAAATCCGGGTGAGGAATTCATTTTGAGGGGCCTGGTGTCTGTCAATCAACGACTTCTTGGGCGGGAGACTGAGGTGTTGGAATTTTAGCGTTTCTTTTAGAGATTAAAAGGAGGGGGAAGGATGGACTAAAGATTTGTTAGCGATAGATTCTTTCTCGCCCGTAAATAATCGCGCATCTATAAAAATACCGGAATCCCGAAATCATGATCGAGCTTGCAAGCTACCTGGCTCTAAAATCTAACCCGAGCAATTAAAAACTATTTAGAAAAGTATCTATATCGTAAGCAAAAAAAACGTATACTCGGTACTGGAGCGAAGTTGCACTGCACCAAAAACCACGGCGAGCGTGTGCCATCCCATTACGCCTAGTTCAGACTACGATACTCGCCGCTCAAAATCGTTAGCGCGTTTCTGAAAAACTTTTCATGCCCACCGAATCGCACGGCTTTGAAGTAAGACGCGCCAGCCGAGTACAATGCCCCGCCGGCGCATCAAGGGCCCGCGCATTCACAAACATTTCCAGCTTACAACTTGAGAAATGTGAAGTCGTGGTGCGAGTCGGAAACGTCATCGGGATCCGGATGGAAAAGATAGGCAAAAAATCTAAAAAAAACTTGGATTTCGGCAATCGCGTGGCTCATCTGGACGCTGAAAACACAGCCAAGATTTTGCGTCAAAAAGTCAAGTCCAAAACGTTTTTGTGTTGCAATCACATTTTTCTCCAAGATTTAGAATTTCCAAGAAACTCCAAGATCGTTTAGAGCCGTCCATTTTACCGTAACCGCATGATATTGGGTTTTTTTGATAAGAATCGATAGATGTAATCGAGTTCTTGCATTTTTAGTTGAAAAAAATCATGAGAATCGCTTCTAACAGAAACTAGAAACGTTCACTAACGTTTTAACCTCATAAAATGCCGTTTTTGCCATTGGAATCGTTAGATATCGTCAGGTTCACCTGTCTCTTTTGAAGCCCTAGTTTTCAAAGCTGTGAACATCTAAAACTTTTTTTAAAACGGTATTGATGTTTTTTTAGTACGTTTTGCTATATTGCGCTGTCAATTGGGGCTGGCCCGGGCGTTTTGATGGGGCGCCAGTCGCCTTTGCCCTTTCCCGTTGCATTTGTACTTTGGAGGCCGGGGAATTTTCGAATCTAAAAAGTTTTGATTCCGCTTTATCTTCGAAAAGCCTTGAAAAAGTAAGCCAGATCGGCTTTTTCTAAGCTTCATTTCTCGATTAGGCGAACGTGAATTCATTCTCTTTCTTTTACACTTTACCAAAAGCCTGTTTTTTTTAAACTCTCCTTTTTTTAGAATGGCGCTCCCGAGCGACATTTCGGCCAAACGGCAGGAATTGGCCCGAATGGCGGTGAACTATCAATCGGTATGTAATTTACCTTTTCGCTAAGTTCGAATTTAGGCTCTGACTCAACTCAGCACCGATTTCGACCGTCTTCAGAGTGCTATTGATGAGACCAAACAGCTTCCAGCTATTGGTAGACCGTCATTCGCTTGCAATCTTTTTGGTTTTAGATCATTCGCTGCACCACTTGAACGATATGTCGTTGGAGATCAAGAAACGTCAGCGCGAGGACCACGATGAGCAATACGCGGTCTTGCAGTTGCTAAAGGAGGTTGGTTCTTCTTCTTATTGTTTAACGAAAGCCTTCCTTCTAGACCGGTCGACGCACTGGTGAAGCGGCCGTTATCATGGAAAATTCTGAAGTGGCACAAGAGGCGTTGCAGAAGCTGAATGAAGGCGACAACTTTGATAGGGTATTTTTGAGATTACGACAGAAATTTACTCCAATATAGGCAGCGCGGTTGAAGAAGATCGAAAAATGCGTGGATGAGTGCAAAACATTGATGGGTGACACTGAAAAATACCTGGAACAGGTCCGCAATACGGAGGTAAAAGTTCAGAATTGTCTTAAAAACACAGTTTAGAAACCGGCCCCTTTCACGCAGTCTTCAGTCCATAATATCCCGGATGAAGCCCGGATTAACAAGGTGATTTACCCCGCAAATTTATATATTTGTTTTGAAGGTCCTCTCACACATGACGTACATTGCCCAAAACCAGCGCGCCAACATGGATAGGATGGAACGCGATATTCGCTTGCTTGAACAGCGTCAGCGGTCGGTTTTTTTCTAGACAAATATTATCTGAATTTTAGGCAAAGCAAGAAAAGCGACACAAAACCCCAAATCATCGTTGAACGCCAGCTTCCCATCGACCCTTCGCAGCCTTCGGTGCCGATTCATCAAATCGACGTGGTTAGGGATAGATTGCGTGCCGCTTTTCAGGTATATTTTTATCAGATTATATTTTCAGGTATATTACGTGCTTTTAGCGACACTCCGATGCAGCTGGAAAATCTCACTGCAAGATCGCCGACGTTTCCACAGCTTCTCCATTGCCGCGTCGCAGTCGAAAACAGCAAGAACTGAGCCGTATCGAGCAATTGTGAGTGATTTTATCGATATTATTTTCATTTCTACATTCAGCCCCTACTTTTGTTTTAAAAACCGTTTGTATTGTCCAGCCATCACTTTCGAGCTAACCTGCATTTTCAGGCTGGAGGAAAGCATCCGACTTCACGAGCTCGATATTTCCCGCGATGATAAGCTGAACAAAAGTGGCGCCATGTGCGTTTCAGTTGGAACTCAGAGTGATCCGATCCCGAAAGGTTTGCTTTACTCACCGCCTTCTCAAAAGATTTTAGAGGTAATTGTCGCTCCGAAGGTCGAACCCAAAATGCTGCCTCCAATCAAGCAAGAAATCATCAGCACGCCGAAGACTATTCCATTTGGTATTTTAACACTCGTCCTCCAATCCCGGTTTTAGTCCCTACTACGCTTTCGTTGATGCCATCCGACAGGGAGTTGGCCGCTAGTTATCTTGGCGAAAGTCCTGAGCGAACCGCCGACATTTCACGATTGACGCCCCAACCTCCGCCAAAATCCACGGCCGCCATTTCGCCTTTGGCTACCCAGACTTCGCCCAAGGAAACGCCGAAAACCCCGGTCACACGTTCATCAAGTGGCGAGAGTGCCTGTAAGTTTATTTTAGCAATTGGTATTTGACGTCCTGTCGCGCTTGCTAGAAACAACAATTTCTTCTAATTAACGCCCAGAAAAAAAACAGTCGGGTTCCTTTTCTTCATAGAAACCGTCACTCTTTCGGTAGACAAGTTTTAGGGGGCGTTAAGTCCGTGTTTCTAGCATCTTCACAATTTTGCCTCAAACCTCGTTTACCGCGATAAATTTCGGTTTTAGCCTCTACCGCATCTGAAGTCCCGAAATCGCCGAAAGAGCCGACACCGATCGTCGAGTCACCGACCGAATCTCCGCTGCGGGACCTGCTCAAAGAAGACGAGCCAACCAAGCCCATCCAAGAATCCACCCCAAAAGCTAACAGGGACGAGAAGCCGAAGAGTTCTATCTTCGGAGGATCGCCATCACTAAACAACTTTTCATTCAATGTAGGTATTCTGTTGCTTAATACGTTGCCACAAGGTTTTCTGGGGTGTTATTATTATTTTGGATGTTTTATGGAGGTTAAATAGATTTTTTTATAATCATAAGCGCAAATTTATGAACAGATTTTCAGGACAAGGAAGCTAAACCAGACGAGAAAAGCGTTGCCCCAGCTGCTGCGCCAACCAGCAGCATTTTCGGAGCCAAACCGACAGATACTAATTGTTAGTGTATCGTTTTACGATTTCCAAATGTCTTTTCCAGTTTCAACCCCGACAACGACAACCGTGAGCACCGAGGAAAAGGTATTATAAATTTCTCGGCTTTACCTATCTTTTTTTAGAAAAAGGACCCCCCGCCAAGCCTGTTCAGCTTCAAACCCGCCGCTTCGCAACCACAGGCCGGCACTTCAGCTGCGGAAACGGTTAGAAGATTTCCGCGTCAAAAACTGGTTTTTTAGGCGAAACCTGAGCCCACGCCGTCAACCTTCAGCTTCAAGGCGGCGGCGGAAAGTGCTGTTCCCGCAACAACAACTGCCATCGAGACGAAGCCTGTTACCTTCAGCTTCAGCCAGGCTGCGGCCGCCACCGGTATACTATTCCGACGGAATGAACTCAAAAATTTCAGCTCAACCTACTTCGATCTTTGGCAACAAGGCCCCGGATGCTTCCGGTATAAAATATTTACTTTATGTAATTGATCTATTTTTAGCTCAATCCTCGTCGATATTTGGCAACAAGCCAGCCCAGCCGGCCACCACCACAAACAGCAGCATTCCCTTCTCATTTGCTTCAGCTGCCACTGCTGCTGCTCAGGTTTATCCTGGGAATTAAAAGACTTAACTTGTTTTTTTCAGACCGCTGATGCGCCTAAACCAGCGGCCACCGGCTCTTCAATTTTCGGTGGTTTTGCTGCCAAAAATGAGACCAAAGCGGCCGCCGACGACGGCATGATGGACGATCAGGGCAGCGGCATGTTTGGCTCTGGATTCATGAGGTACCTTGATTTCTTCGATTTTTTTTTATGCGATTTGTTCTAGCGGACTCGGCTGCAAGCCCAATACATCTGACCAGGCAAAGCCGAGCATCTTCTCCTTCAAACCGTTGGTGATTTTACCCTGACTTGAACGATTTTTAGGAGCACCGTCCCGGCTGCTACCACCGGCAGCAGCATCTTTGGCGGCGGCTTATCCAAGCCCGCCGCTACTGGCGGAAGTATCTTTGGCGGCGGTCAACAGCAACAGCAGCCAGCCGCCACTCAGGGCAGCAGCATCTTCGGCGGTCCCAAGCCCAGTGGCAGCATTTTCGGAAGCAAGCCGGCGACTGGCGGAAGCATCTTTGGTGGCGGCGCCCAACAGCAGCCGCAGCAGCAACAAGGAGGTGGCCTGTTTGGAGCGAAGGCACCGGAACAATCGGCTCAACCATCCAGCATCTTCGGCGGCGCCAAGCCACAGCAAGCGACAGGAGGCAGCCTCTTTGGAGGTATCGTTTTCGGAACAACTGCATGAAGTCCACCAAAAAGAGAAAAATCTGACGTGATTGCATAAAATTGGGCAATTTTATCAGAATTTTCGGTATCCGATCGATTATTTCTTTTCTCTAATAAATCCCCCTTTTTCGGTTATGGAAACAATAGAATAGAGGTTATTTCAGTGCAGGGCAACACCCTTAATTTCCCCCATTTGCAGGCGGTGCCACGACAGGCTCAACGTTTGGCGCAAAACCGCAGTTCGGCGGTTCTCCCGTTTTTGGCGGCCAGAAGCCGTTCGGACAACAAGGCTCCGCTTTCGGTGGTGGTTCTGGAGGATTTGCCGCCGCGGCCAAGGAGATGGCACAAAAGGGACAGCCGAGTCTGTTCGGCAACACAGCTGCTGCGTCTGGCTCCAGCATTTTTGGCGGTGCCAACGCATCCTCGCCCCAGCAGCCGGCCAGCAGCATTTTCGGTGGCGGCAACACTTCCGCTCCACAGCAGCCATCTAAAACGTATGCCATTTCCGCATAACGCAATCATAATATTTTTTTTCAGTTCATTCACCTCGTGGCGCTGAACGCTTGCGAACACAGCGAAGATATTACGTCTTTCCGAGCCCGGTTGATTCTCATGTTTTTCAGTTATCGTTGATTATACGGGAATAAATTCACGTCATTTTTCTATTCCTATCGTGATAAACATCGATCTTTAATGTCCTGACACGAACACACACTATAGAGTTTTGGCTATGAAAACATCATCCGATCGTCGTCACACTCTTCCGAATCGGTCGCAATCCTTCGCACGGAAATTCTACCAAAGCTGGGCTGCTGGAAAAGTCGCGGCACGATGCGGCTTGCCTGCTGTTTATTGAGCCTACCTGCTTCTGAGAATTTTGTTGCGGAAAAGGGATTTAATCTCTAAAAAACTTTTTCCTTGAATTTTCAGTATTACAAATTTTTATCCGAAAACTGGAAATTTCCACAACGCTCCGCTCCCTTGGCTTGCTAGAAAGCGACCCGCGCGTACAAAGGAATGTCGTGGAATCGCCCCTTCGCAAAATTCGACGCCATTTTCCGGGAGCATGAATTTTGCGCAACGAATTTTGCGCAATTCGGGAAAAACGAATTTTGCGCAACACGCGAATTTTGAGCAACTCCCACAAAACGAATTTTGCGCAACTTTTGGTGAAAAAAATAGAAGAGGCTTACAAACATGGTTTTTTCATTGCTTTTCGCTGCGTATAAAATAAATGAAGGAATGTAAGAGCTAATCGAAGAAACTTTTCAACCCCAGCGTGCTGAATAACGGTTATCTCGTGGATTTTGGCATGGCCGCTGGTTTTCGTGATTTGAACCTGTTTTCTGTCCAAAATACTATTAGAACGCCTCAATAGTTGTTCTGAGGCCTTTCTTGATCAAGAAAACTACACTGCCGCGGCATATTCCCCATTACCTCGTCGAACACCATATGTCACGCTAGTCGATTATGGTCTAAAGAGCGATTTCGAACCCACTTTACATTTTTCATACATTAAGTATCGAATACATTATTTTATTTTAATAGAAAACGCTTGACTGAAACTGAAAACTTCTTGTTATCAACGATTTTAGCAAAAACCAGCGGCCATGCCAAAATCCACGAGATAACCGTTATTCAGCACGCTGGGGTTGAAAAGTTTCTTCGATTAGCTCTTACATTCCTTCATTTATTTTATGCGCAGCGAAAAGCAATGAAAAACCATATTTGTAAACCTTTTATATTTTTTTCACCAAAAGTTGCGCAAAATTCGTTTTGTGGGAGTTGCTCAAAATTCGCGTGTTGCGCAAAATTCGTTTTCCCCGAGTTGCCCAAAATTCGTTGCGCAAAATTCATGGTCCCCATTTTCCACTTTTCTTTTTTCCGCTCACGTTTCGCTTTTTTCTTTCAGAATTCTTACTTTCCTCGCAAAACATTCCCATTTCAGCTCGCTCCGCACTAGACACTTTGACGTTTCTGTATGGCGACGGACGTGCAAAAATTTGCCCGACGGTTCGGCTTTGGGCTTGCCGCGGTTGCTGTGGGCGGCAGCATCGTGCTGGCCTCAAGTTATTACGGTTTGTCGCTGCCAGTTGGATACTAATTTTGTTTAGTAAAAACGGGCCGCCGCGCCGTCATCGTCGATCGCTCAACGGGCCCCAAGGAAAATACTGTGGCCGAAGGGCTACATTTCTTGATACCATTCAAGCAAAAGGCTGTCATCTTCGATATTCGGAGCAAGAAGAAAAATTTGCGCGTTCAGGGAAAATCTAAAGGTATCTGGAAACCTTAAATTTTTTCTAATGTTATCTAGATGATCGCGAGGTGGTCGTTGTCCTTCGCTTCACCTTCCATCCTGACCCTGACAGGCTGGTCACGCTCTACGCGCGCTTTGGGGATAACTATGATCAATTTCTGTTCAACGCCGTCGAGGAGATCGTCTACTATGCTTTGGTATTACACGTCTAATTTTTCCACATTTGCTTTAGGAACAAAACAACAGTTCAACACTTGATGCTGACCGTGAAGGGATCCGGAACAAGATTATCAACGATGCGTTTGCCCTCTTTGGAAACATGAACGTGGTGCTTGAGGATATTGACATGGTAGGTTTCCGGTTCTCGTAAGCAACTTCGGCTCTATACTGATAGCGGGGTCCTTAACTTTTAACGGGGTCCTTAAAAAATATCGGGGTCCTTAGATTTTTACAGGGTCCTTAAATTTTGGCGGTAAAAAAATTCAGGACCCGGTTAAATAACGACCCCTTTAAAATTTTAAAAATAGTTTTGAGGCTCTAGGCCCATGGCCCTTGCCAGAATGCTTGAATATAGTGTGTATGACGAAATAACAAGAGTGGTTTTTTTAAGATGTTTTAACGAAGTAGGGAACTTAGAAGCGAAAAAGTATGGAACTTTTTAGGTATTTTGAATCAAAGGAAACTATCGGAGTGCGCTATCAAACGTATGGTAAAGATAATCGATCGGTTTGTATTTGCTACATGTAATCCTCGTTGCAAAAGATATCCATATCCCAAAATTAGTCATATTAGCGTAAAACTAAAGATACTTCCTACCGGCACCCTCAGCAAATCAGCAAAATCTATGTTCCAGAGCGGGGTTCGAACTCGAGCTACAAGCCTTCCCAGACAGCCTGCTAACCACTTGGCCAGCAGGAAACCGATAGCCTATCTTAGGGAATAACACCCCAGAGCCTCGAAACTATTTTTAGAATCTTAAGGACGCCGTTATTTAACTTTTTTACCGCCAAAATTTAAGGACCCTGTAAAAATCTAAGGACCCCGGGTGCTAATGCAGTTAGGGGGCAGTCCGAAATTGGTAGTAAGGGGTTACGAGACGCTCCGCTTAAGCTACTTGGTTTTCTGCTTAAGCCTAGGCTTAACTTAGCTTTAACTAAGCTTAGCTTAGGCTTAGGCTTAAGCTTAAGCCCAAGTAAAGCTTATCTTGAGCTTCAAATTGTCTTACGAGGTCAAAATGGGGTCATTTAGGACTAAGCTTAGAGCTAAGCTTAGCTTGGCTCAACCTAAGCTTAGACTTCGTTTGTATGAAGCTAAGCCCAGGCTTAGGCTTGGCTTAGCTTTTCCAGAGGCTTCGAGTTTAAAAAACGGCATTTGGAGCGACTTGTAGTCAAAATCGGGACTGCCCCCCAAGTGCATTAGCACCGGACCCCGATATTTTTTAAGGACCCCGTTAAAAGTTAAGGACCCCGATAATTTTTAAGGACCCCGATAAAAGTTAAGGACCCCGTTAAAAGTTAAGGACCCCGCTATCAGTATAGAGCCGCAACCTCCATTTAGACGAAGCTGCTCGTAGATCTGGTGCCGCAGGTGAAAGAAGATATCCAGATCCCTTGCATGACCAAGGTATAATATCAAGAAGATCTTCCAATAGTAACTTAGAAAAATTCTGAAAAGTCTGTACAAAGCATCGGGCTCGAGGCTGCCTCCGCCCCGAAGTCACTGCTTATTATCGAGGAAAGGGTCGATGAAACGGTGGTACGCCTTTTGGATTTTTTGGAAATTTTTTATTTCAGGTGCTGCTACCCACGCCGACTCCATCGCTGCCTAAGGATGAGCCTCCGCGATCACGAAGGGGTTCCTATCGTGTGGAGATTCCAAAGACGCCCGAATACTCTGTGGAGGAAAAGGTTTAGTATAACACTGAAAGCTCAAGTCTGTTTTTAGGAAATCCAACACAAAGAGGTGGTCATCGAGGCCAAGCCGGTGGCCATCTACGAAAATCTTCCGACCTCTTCGGATATTCAAACCTCCGACTTCACCAGCACCACATCACCAAAGCAGCCTGAATTGGCCTTGGAACACAACGACACCAACACTTTCTCCTGGAGCGAAGAGGTGATTGATTACCCTCTAACTTCCTTAGCCTCAATTTAGATGGAAAAGGACAACGAGCACGGTGATAGGAAGCGTGGCGAGGGCCAGATGACGCCGGACTCTGACGTGAGTTTTTTTGCCGAGCTATTTTCGGGCAGTTGACGGTCTTGGATGCTCCAGTCAGAGTGAATATTTTAGGGCGGCTGGTAGACACGCCTGATTGAAATATTCAAACATTCTGAGCTTGTGGGGTCCCAAGATGCCGTTGTTCTAAAATATTATGCTCCTTTGGAAAACATTTCTTTTTTTCAGCAGGCCTCGGTTGACAGCGGCCGTGCCACGGCTCCTCCGGCCATGCACCCCATCGCTGGCGGAGAGATCGTCCCCCAGTACGAGTTCGAGATCCACAACAGCTACGTCGGGCTCGTGATTGGCGTGGGCGGGAAAACGATCAAGGTATTATTTCCGGTTTTTAGCCATTAATTTCCTTAGGAATTGAGCACTCGCACCGGCGTCGTGCTGGAGATCCGGCCCCACTACAGCCCGGAGAAGGTCGACACCCATCAAATCTGCCAAGTCCGCGGCAAACGGGAGCAGATCAACAGGTGCCTCTGCATGCTGCGCAACCGCTTCCCGCCGGAGCGCTTCCCGGAGTTAAACCTGCAGCCGGTGCTCGCCGTCCCATCCATCTCCTACCAGTCGGACGACCAGTTGCAGCCCACTTGGGTACGGTTTTGTCGTTTTTACTTCGACGCCCGCTTTGAAACTAGGGCCTTTTGATCTGATCGGACGTGACATTTTAGCTTGCTCTGCCGGAGTGCGTCTCCACCGAAGTGACCGTGTCCGCCGTCGTCAACCCCAGCCACTTCTTCCTGCAACAGCCCACGCATCCATCCTTCAATTCACTGGCTCTGCTCGACCATCACATGCTGCAGAACTATGCTAACGCCGCCGACGTGCCTGGCTTGGATGATGACCAACTCATAGGTGACACCAACTCCTCTTGTTCATATTATTTTTTTATAGCCGGTGTTGTTTGCGCCGTCCGCGTGCTGGATGCCTGGTTCCGTGCCATGACCGTGAGCTATTGCGATGAGAGTGATGAGGTAATTTTTAATTTAAACTTGTAAAATTTGTTTAGTTGCTCGTCCGATTCGTCGATTATGGTGGCTACACTTGCGTCGTGCGCGATGACCTGCGCCAAA